GTTTCTTCCTGTTCAAAAGGAGTTTTTCCTCTCCACTGTCGCTACAAGCATGCTTAGCGTGAGAGATTGCATTTGAGTCGATAAGTTGATGCAATCAACTGGTTTTTCTTTAACTTTAATCAACTTGACTGGATGATCTGGTTGAATTGTAAAGTGCCTTGAGATGACGTGGTGTGAATTGCAGCTATATGATCAAAACTGGATTGAATTTAAAAGGAAGAGTACGAAAAAAATCTGCATATCTGTGAAAAATATGCTGTTTTCTTAAACTGTATGACAAAATGCTAACATGAGAATTTTAGAGCTGAGAGAAAAGCCTTTGCTGCTCTGTAGCTGCAGAAACCACAGAGCTCCAATAATAATAAGCCACCAACAATCCGCTCACACACACAAACGCACTGAGAACATAACCTTGAGAGGACAGCAGTTCTAACAAAAGCAGATAAATAGTTGGTGCAGCTGTGGCATTTTATCTTTTTCTTTTTCTGAGCACTTTAATAATATTATTGTCCACTTCTGAAGATGCTTTAAACTTAAATTTATTGTTTAATATACTTACCATTGCTACTGCTGATTTACACTTTAATGGACATGAATGAATCTTATCCTGAAATGAACCTTTGAAAAACTTCTTAATCAAAGACGGTTCTAAGAGGATCTTGGCTGTCTTCTCATATGTTATTAATTCAAATAATATTTTTTGTTACAGATTTTTCACATTTGTGTTCTACAGATTGTTTTAGGAATTCTATTTTATTCAAATAGCATTTTACAGAACATATTCTTTTTCTTTTTAGATGAATTTCTCTGGGTCTGCATAGATGTATGCAACAACATTTTAATTGGTCGAGAGCTGATGTTTTATTGGCCTTAAAGTGAAGATAATGACAATGCAATTTATAGAAAACGATCAATGCATTGCAAGGAAGTTTTTTTTATTTTTGTGTGCTTTTGGCGTTTTTTTTATTGTTTTTTTTTTCTCCTATATTGTTACATTCTGCTGCACTTAGTATTGGAAATGTTTATTTACTCCAACTGCAATATCATTACACTGTATTAAGCTGTATACAAACAAAATTTTGTATACTTTCTGTGCATACAAAATGACAATAAAAAGTCTAAGTCATTCAAAAAAGATACAAAACAAATTTTTACGTTTCCAATAATAAAGGAACAAATTACCCCCCATACATTTGTAAAAGTCTCAGCTCTTTAGGAAACTCCTTTAGAAGCCATTTCCTTTCTGCTTTCCATGATCAGGCCAGTTTTCTGCAAACATTATTGTGAAATAACAGCAGAGCTTCATCTTCAGCCTTCATCATTTATTGATTCCTGTCACTTGAAGCTGCTGCAGTTTCTCAGTGTGAACTCTGCTCATGGTGAGGTCATCATCGCTGTAATTATGTAAGGATGTAGATACAGTGAAAGATAACACATTTAAAGGCTAAAAATATTAGACATCCTCAGTATAGGGATCTGTTAAAACGAATCAGTTTAGATAGGAAATACACTGGAAAAAATGGAAATGTAGATAAGTAATCTTTTCTTTAAATAAGTGCATTTCTTCTTGAATTGAAGAGGTAAAAGAGACATTTTGCCAATGGAACAAGACAATTTACATTTAAAATAAAACAAAATTGCATTATCTTATTTCAAGTGCATTTTATCTAATTATCTTATTTTAAGAGTAAAAATACTAATTTCATTGGCAAACTACCTCATTTACCTACTTAAAATAAGGATACATACACTTAATTTAAGAAATATTAACTTATTTCTGGATCATTTTTGCAG